GGTCCTGTTCTACCCCTGCTGCTGCTTTCGCCTTTCCTTGGTCTCTGCCTCGTGTGCACTTTAACCCATGTTCACCTTTGCAGCTTCTGGTCGTGCTCCGAGTCTCTCGAGGTCTTTGGCTGCTGCTTTCCAGCAGGCTCGTGGCCGCCTTCGCTTCGGCGCTACCACCAGTATTTCGAAAGTACAGCTTGTATTATACTTTCCAATTTACTAATAAAACCGCTGAAGAAAACCAGGCTCGGAAGAAATTCATGTGGAAGCACTGTTGAAAAGCCCCTTCTGGTTGAGCCCAGTCATTGACAAGCAACTTCGCCTTCAGAATGGTTTTTGAGTGGGGTGCGCGTGTGGTTTATGGTAATTTCTGCACAGCGCTCTGAGGGCTACAGCTGCTAGGGCTGTGCCTTGCCCAAATCAAGGTGCACATGGGCAGCTCCCCCTGCTATCAAACCGGTTATCCTGCCAGATAATAGCAGGTGCTTTTCAGATTTGCTTTGTTCTTTACTCCAGGACCTTGTCATAATGAGATATTGCTAATAGCTTGATGAATTTTACGGCGATTGAAAGGGTTTTGGTTGTAGACTGAAAATAGGGTTAAGGGGTAAAATTCATGGTGGGTCTAGATAGGAAAAATGCAAGTGGGAATGCTTCCTAAACTACAATATGAAAGGTATTTATGATTAAATGTTTCATACTTTACCGAAAAAAGAAAAGAAAAAGGAATTGCTTCTTCCTCCGTATTCATGATATAAATGTGAACCTATGGGGGTGATATGGGAAAACAGTGGATTTAATCTCCATTTAACTACCAGAATTAAAGCAAGAAGTGGACTCCCCACTTGATCTTCAGCTGAAATACTCTGGGTGCAGCACAGTGAGTGGGATTTTGGCCGAGTTTTTTGGGTGCCGTGGCCGTGCACGGACCTCGTGCTGCACGAGGCTTCAGGCCGTGCTGCCAGGCGGTATGGAGCAGGTATTAGTCCTGCAAACTTTCCTTGACCTCTTTTCTGTGGAGTTGTTGCACCACTCTTGCTTCTTTTTCTGCATTGCTCAGTAGTTAATTTGTTTATTATAAAAGTTAGAATAAGATTAAACAAACTGCTAATGCTTTTATGTAGCTTAATGAGAAGAAAATGTTTCTGAGGGACTAAAACCACTACAGAAGTTTAAAGGGGGGGGGGGAAATTGAAGTCCACAGCAGACTCAGGAATTTGTTCCATTTATTAATTGAAAACAAAAGCGAGTCACTTCTGTTCCACTGTCCCCAGAATGTCCTCCTTGCATTGTTCCAGATCTCTTTCATTTTGCCCCCAGAGATTTCCCTCCTCTGTACTTTCAGCTGAATTTATTTAGGTTACTTTTTGAGTCCCTGTCCTACAGGCAACGGGTTGGGGATGAAGCTGCAGGATCAGCCTCGTGGCTGCTCCTTCTGAACTGCCTCGAGTCCTTTTCTTCACCAGCTGAGAGGGAGACGGAGGAAGGCCCTGCAGAGCCCGTTCCTAAAGATTTCGTACCATTAATTTATATACATTCAATAATTTGAAGCTTCTTGGGTGTTCCTCCAGCATGTACGTGGTGTCTGGCCTACAAAGTGTTTTGGGGAGTGGGTTTGTAGCTGAGCTTCATGGGGTCCCAAGACATAGGGGCAGGCAGGGCCCCCGTCCCAAGAGCTCGGGCTGGGCCCGCGGCCTTCAGGCCTGTCCCTCATTGCTCTTCCAGTCCCCTCTTGGGCATTATTCCCCAAATCTCTGCTCTTTTCCCCACATTTTGGTGGATCCCTGCCTGTGGCGTGCTGGGCTTTTTGCTGTGGGGCGGGTGGGTTGCCCCCATTTTGGGGATGGGCCCTGCAGGATGGGCACCCCGGCCTCGCGGAGGCATTGCCTGTGAGAGCTTTCCTGGAAAGATTTTTCCAGTTGACCTTTTGCAACAACAACAGCAAAAAAAAAAAAAAAAAGGAGTGGATTTTTAATGAATGCAGGAATTGTGAAACTTGAACAATACAATCCAAGAACTTTTAAAAGTCCTCTTAATGGTTTTGTTTAGTGAGCGTATTTGAAAAATGTAAACCAGACAGATCTGTCAATGAGCGTCGTCTTCAGTCGGAGAGTTACGGCCTGCTCGGCTCTGAGATAAGTGCCTGTGGGACAGGCCCCTCGTCCTCAGACTTTTTTAATCAAAAGGCTTTTTTTTTTGTGGGGGAGGCTCGTTACTGAAGCGATGTGACCAGCAATTTTTTATATCAGAGAAAAAAAAAAGCAGCCTCAAGGTTCGTTTTCTGTAGTGTTGTCACAAGGCCTTGTTTATTCGTGACCAAAAGGACAAATAACCCGAACCTATTCCCCTTTTAATTCTTGTTGTCCTTGCTTTGTGTTTTGTGTTGTGTGCCCTTGTGATTGTTACTGGGTACGAACACACAGGGCAGATCTCTTTTTGTAGGAACTTGTTTGTGGATCACCTAATGGCTGTGGATTTGGTAGTCGCTTCAGGACAATTAACTGAAGATCCCGATCTGGCTATAATTAGTGTTTGAATTGGAAAAGATGTTATTAGGAGCAAAGCCTTTGTGCAGGACAGCCTTCCAAAGGTGCTGCCATGGCTCTGGGAGCTTCAGAAGTGGACTTCTACTAGGGCTGGGAAACCAGAAATGGTGGCTTTAGGGTCTGGGACCTCAGGGGTGGTGTGGAGTGGTTTGTTCTTGCACTGAGACCTGCATCGTTTCCTTTGAGACGAGTCACCACCTAGTCCCTGTGCCCTACGTGTGTGATGATGCTCGATACAGAGCATAAACCTGGCATCCTACGGGTTGAGAGCTGACATCGGTGGAGGCACGGCCCTTCTCTCTGGGACTCGCATGGCTGTCACCCTTTATTCCCATCTTCTAAGAGACGATGGGAGTGCAGGATGCTGGCTTTACATTGAGGAAAGGTTTGTGTGTGTACCTCAAAAGGCAGCCTACAGAGTTTAAATATAAGCTTAGGGCTGACCCCAAGATGGGTTTTGTATTGCTGCCTGTCACCAGCTTTTTTTTTGACCCCAGAGTTTGGCTTCGGGGTGGGAATGGCTTCGGTCGTGGGACCTTCGTGACTTAGGCTGGCCACGTGCAAAGGAAATTTCGCCTAGAGTTTGTATGTCTTTAAGTCATTTATTTATTTTTTTCCAAAGAGAGATGCCTTTGTAAATTCTGGCAGTATTTTTTCATGCAAACACATTTATATGACACCCATAATTACTGTTAAACTTGTGCTTGAATGAAAGCACCACTCGTCTAGCTGCATTTGGTTTTTATATATGAATTGTGCTCTCCGAGTTTAACTTCTGAGAGCAGAGAGAGGTGCCTCTGAGCTTCCTGAGCCATGCTGTGGAGGGGCTGTGCAGCGCTAGATGGCACTCTGCCTCCAGCTTTCATGGTCACCAGCAAAACTCTGCTTTCTGCACAGAAAACCCGCTAGCATCATACGGTGGAGTCATTGCTAAAACTTTAGGAAGTTGATTTTTTCACCTCTGTTCCAAGGTAGAAGCTGGTTGGTGCTGCAGGAGGCAGTGCTGTCACCTCTGCTCCTGGTGACTTTTTTTTTTTTTACATTGAGTTTTAAACAGGCTTACGAGGATTTGGCATTTTTTTTTTTTTTTTTTCTCTGAGAATGGATTACTGAAATTGTATAATTGGAATTGCTTCAGTTATACAACTGGGCAGGGTTAACGAGTGGTCATTCAATACTTTTCCTCCAGCTTTAGTCCTGTCCCAGTATTTTTTTGTATAACGTTGAGACCGTTGTGGATTGTAGGGTGGGATTTCCCGATGTGACCTGCAGGCACACATCTCACCTGAAGGTCACATCAGGTGCAAAACGTTGAGTGGGATTCATCTAGTGGTGGTTCTTGCTGAGGTATGACTTGTGCTGCTGCAAAGGGTGAATGTTTTTTGTTTATTTCTTTCTCATACCTGGCTACAGCTGTGTCATTCCCCACCTTTCATCTCTAATTGCTGTGTGGAGCCCGGCGTGTAATTATTTCACCCTTACTTTCTGAAGCAGTACAACCTGGGGTTTCATAAAGCTCTCTGTGCACTTTGTTTTTCATACTAGAGAGAATTTGGGTCTATCAGTTAGCATCGCTCCTCGAAATAATAAAACTTCACAGCTCAAAACCTGAGAATACAGTACAGAAAACCTCCTGAACAACTCCCAGAACCCTACACCCCATTTCAGGTGTGACGTTGTCCCTCTGCTTTCTGCACTAACGTGAGGTTTGTGCCATGATCCCTTCCCCTGCGGACAGGAGAGTTGCACTCTAGGCTTCGTCACAAAACTTGTGGAAATAATCTTTGCTGGACAGTGAGCATTGGTAATGCACAGAGTGAAAAATGTTAGGACATGACAGTTCAAGCTCCTCTTCCCAGTTGGGTGGAATTTAACAAAACAAGAAGGAAAACTTTCTTTCTTTTCCCCTAGATTTAAAATTGGTGGTTTTGCTTGGTGGTCCCAAAGGCTGCCTAGTACCTACAGCGTGCACGTACTTTGTGTTGGGGTATCCCCATCGTTTTGGGTGGCTTTCAGTTTTGTTGGGCTTTCAGCAGCAGGCCTAACTGTGCTGTTCAAATTTGGAGGTAGGAAAGGGGATGGATTTTGAGTCGTAGAGCTGATAGTTCTCCATTGCAGCTTTTCCCCTTGAATCCTGAAGAACACCCAGAGAATACTGCATACAATAGCACATATAGTGGTCAGAGGTGGCTAAGCTCAAAGCTAGAGCACAGAAACTTCATCTTAGAGGATTTTGACCTTGTCTGGCCACGTTGTGATCTCTGAGGGAACATCGAGCTAGTGTTTGACAGGTTTGGGGATGGGGAGGAGGGCTGGAATAGAAGGATTTTCAAACCTGACTTTGGTGCCTGGCAAGTAAAAGGTTTTCTTTTGGTTTTTAGAAGTTGTATTCTGGATATTTCTTTCAAGTAATTATGCTAATGGGTATTGGAACCCTGACTCAAAGTGTCATCTTCTTTTTAGGTCTGTTTATGATGGAGAGGAGCACGGTCGATTCATGGAGAAATTGGAAGCACGGATCAGAAATCATGATCGGGAGATCGAGAAAATGTGCAACTTCCACTACCAGGGCTTTGTGGACTCCATCACGGAGCTGCTGAAAGTTAGGGGAGAAGCTCAAAAACTGAAGGTAAGAGAAAGCCACCTGAATCCCATGGCTCTAGGTTGGACAAGGAGACCTCTAGAGGTCCCCGACAACCTCAGCCATTCTGTGATTGACCAAAAGAATGTCTCCTTTTGTCCAGAGCATCTTTCCTCCGTCTGGGAAAAACAAAAACAAACCCCAGCAATCTTCATTGTTTCTTCCTGTAACGATCGGTTGGTCATTTAGAGTTCAACAATTATTTTGGCAAACTGGAATGCTGTGGTACATTAGCTTTAATCTTCCTTGTGATTCTGTCTGTTCTGCATTAGGAAACACATGCTTTTCCTGGTGCACCTTAGACCAATTTCTTACACAAAAATAAGCTCTACAGGCTGAAGCACGTCTGGTATAACAGCATCTACTCCAGTGCCCTGTATGACACCAAGTTCTCGTTACAGATAGCATTGCATCAGAGTCAGAGCTGTGAAAAGACCTGATGCAGAGCTGACTTTAGTCAGGAGATGTCTGCCCAGCGTTGGCAAGTGAGATATTTAAAAAGCAAATGGACATCAGAGTGTGCTGAGGTATTCAGAGTAAGCAGGAACAGAAATTAAAAATAAATCATCAGTAGATACTGTTTGTACAAATACAGAACTTGATTCCTTTTCTGTGGCATCTCCAGGTGTGGTTGGCTGAACTAGAAAATAAAATGGCTAGAGCCAGGAATGGAGAAGGAAAAATAGTTATGGCTAGGGGTGGATTTTCTAAATGTTTTGGTCCTTGAAGACGTGCAAAAAGATCAGAGAAAGGTGCGTTTTTACGTGTTTTTAGAAAGAACGTGCTCAGCGTTGTGTGGAAAATGTCTAGAGGTGCAGGCGTCAAGTGGGCTTGCAGTTTAGGCTTGGCTGGTGTGCCTTAAAATATGAATATCACACAATTTGGAGCATATGAGAAAGCTTAACAGGGACCTGATGAGCCTCAGAGGTTGGAGAGCCTCCTTCTTTCTCCTGCAGAAGTTAGAACAGGGGCAGAGAAGATGATGTGTTTGCCTCTTCCATTCTTTTCTGCAGCACCAAGGTGTGACCTTGATTTAAAAACAGAAATCAACTTCCTGGAACAATCACTTAGTGAAGGGGATTGAGTTGGGTGGCACCCAAAATGGAGAATTCTGTCTCTGGAGACCAGCACAAGTCTTCCTGTGGAGTTTGACCCATTGAGAAGGACCTTTCTGGGCATGTAGAAGTGTGGGGGACTATTCAATGGGCGTTAGAGAAGATGAAGTCATAAATAAGGAGAAAAAAATCTCACAAAATCAAATTTTCTGGAAAAGAAAAAACAAAACCAAAAAAACTGCACCTTCACTGTGCTGGCTATTGCTTGTCACACTTTTATTTATTCATTTAAAGCTACCTCTGGCATTTCCAAGCTTGCTTCGGGATTAACACAAGGCCTGGATCCCCCACGTGCTGGCAGGAGCACCTTCCCAGGGGTGTTCCCTGACACCAGAAGCACCCTGAGTATCACAACGGCATTTTCCACCAAGAGAATTCATCCAGCGGTTGATTGCAGGATGAGGCCATTGGAAATACCATGAAAGAAGATTTTTAAAGCCATTGTTTCTAGCCAAGAATTCCACATTGTTTGTTTGCAAAGGCTCGTTGCTGTTTCCCATTCTCCAAACAGCTACTTTGTTGGTGGCGCACTGTGAAGTCCATCTCTACCCTCAGGATCTCTCTTGATTTCCATTACTATGTGATCTATAAAACGGCACATGGGAAAAATATACACAGAAGCTTATTTGAGAAACATTGAGCCCTCTTTGTAAGGCTTTCCCCGGGGAATCATCCATGGGTCCAGTGGCGAGAGCGTGTTTTGTTCCAGCTATTCATTCTGCATTTGATCTCGCTCTTTTTCTCAATAGCACTGCTCTTTGAACGTACGTACAGCCAGCTAGGAAACAAACGCCCGCCGTCTTGCATCTCCAGGATGTATCTGCAGCCGTGTGCTTTGAGCTTGGGGCATCCTCTGTAATGTCACACTTGCAGAAATATCAACGTTCGTTGTTTTAAGAGTGCAGGCTGTGAGCTGGATGCATTGCATCCCCTCCCTCATGTGTACCACAGCTGCTCTCTTCCCTTTACACTGCAGTTCTGTATTTCAGGTGGCCCCAAGGCAGGCCGAATCATGATCTGGACTGTTGTGGTCAGCCTTTCTGCTCTCTTTTATGCTCCTCTTGGCCTACCAAGGGCTAGCTCTGGATTAATTGGGAGCTTGAGCTTTTAGCTCCGCAGGTGAGCTCCTCCGCAGTGCATTTCTGCACTAGGAAGCTTCGTGTTGCTTTCCAACGATGCTGGGTCACTGCTTGGGAATCAGTATATGAGTATAAAAATAAAAATAAAAATAAGGGAAGTTAGTTGGGAACACATAGGGCACATTTTCAAAAAGGCATCTACCTTATTTTGGGTGATAATTTTTTATTAAACCAAAACTTCTGCATTTCCTTACTCTTTTTTTTTTTTAACTACGACTTTACTAAGGCAGTCCTCTTTACTTTTAACTACTTACGTGGTTTCGAAGGAAAACCTTTTTGCTTTGCTTTTTTACATGTTGTATGCCATATCTTCTACTACACAACAAATTTCATCCTCATGAGGAAGTCAGCTTTTGGATACTGACTCTTTCAGTCCCAGTTCTCATCCCACTGGGTCTTGCAAGCCGTGTACCAGTCCAGTTCCTCCATCTTACAAAGGCTCCAGTGGAATTTAAGAGCAAAGATAAATTATGCGTTAGGATGGTTCAACTTGGGAAATGTGACTGGAGGTGTGAAAGGGAACAGATCCCAGAGACACAGGGCTGGTGCCAACCTCAGCCAGCTCTGGAGGGTCAATTTAAGGAAGTTCTGCTTCAGCTATGTTGTTCCTGATGGATTTTTGTCTGACCTAGTGGTAGTCCTGCCCTTCATTCTTGAGGAAACCCAAGTTGTGTGGTTAAAAAATTTTTTTTTTAGGTCTACAACGTTTTGACCTACCAGGCACAACAGAGATCATCCCTTCTTGTTTCTGCAGCAGTCTCCTGTAATGCTGAGGCTGCAGGATGGTTCTTCTCTGGTCTTGTCTGTAAGATAAGTAGCCCCAGTCCTTCCTAGTGGGTTGTGCTTTCTAGGTGTCTCACTGCTTTCACTTTGCTACTGTGAAGTCTTTCCAGTTGGTGGTTTCTTTCTTATTTTTTTTATTTTTTATTTTTATTTTTTATTTTTTTATTATTTTTCATTACAACAGCATGGTTTTTGAACTGGAGCAGGCAATCAGTCACCAGTGAATTGTTGTAGAAGGGTTATTTCAGGGGTGCTGTACAATTCTGTCCATGCACACTCATCTGATGCTCGCTGTGTAGCAGCACAGCTCGGACTGATTTTCAGTTTGACTCACTGTTTGCCAGGCCCTTTCTCAGAGCTGCTGCCCAGTTGGCCTGTTTTGTGCAGCCGATTACCTCTGCCCGAGCTGAATGCTCCACACCTGCCACTACTGAACAGCAATTAAAAAAAAACTCTTCTTGGAGAAGCCATCTGCAAGTCCAATCTTCTCTCCTAGCATTCACGGTACTGCTGTGCCCAGCTGTAAAATCTACGAAGTTAAGAGTCAGGGAAAAAGAAAATGAATGGGGAGCAATCTTTATGGTTTACAGCACTCAGATTGAGGCGGATCTAATAAAACAGAGGCAGGTGGTGTAAAGCAAAGGGAAGCTCACCTTCCCTATGTGAACCCAGGGGGTGGCTGTGACCTAAAAACGCAGCGGCCGCGCAGTGGGGTCCCGCAGGGGTTGGATAAATGAAGATAACGTGGCTGTGGTGGTGGGTGACTAACCCGGTCCTTGGCTGCTCCCTCCAGATTGGGAAGTTTGGGGCTGACTGGAAGGATTTCTCCGCAGTAATCCAGGAAAAGGACGTGGAAAGCCAGGGTAGGCGGGGGTTGGAAGCGGGGATGCAGCCGCGTGGGGTCAGACCGCTGCCCTTCGCATCCATTCCCGGGATTCCTTGCCAGCGCCCTTTGCTCTCCTCTCTCATCACTCTGACACTCTCTAAACGATAGCAGAGCGCCGTCTGAAAGCCCCCAAACAAAAACCCTGCTCAGTGCCACATGTTCCACGCGCAGATGAATGAACTAACAACTCGAGCATCCCCTGAGCCCCTTCCGTGATCCCCTCGTCTCGTCCTCCACATGTGCCCACCTGTTCTCAGCCCCCCCCTTGCCGGGCGTCTGTCTTAGATTATCAAATCTCCTCATCTGAACAGCTTCGGTGTGCCTGTAGATCTCGAGAGCAAACCGAAGCACAACCCCCTGCCTCCCAAAAACTGTGTGCCAGGGCAGAAAACATCCTTACGTTTGGCCTTAGCTGGGATTGATGTGTAATTTTAACAGAAGACTAGTGCAGCCTTGGCATCGTTTTAGGAGCGGTTTTGAATTACCCTACATGGGTTCCTTTTTCCTGGTGGGATTTTCAGGATATAAGAAAAGAAAATAATCTTTGGAAGAGATGCTCTGCTCCTGCTCGTAAAATCTCAATACATCATAAAGGAAATGAGCAGTTTTTGCGCGGGGCAGGCAGCCAGGAGAGCCGAAGCTACTGCAGAAGGGGGAGCAATGTGATGCAGATGCTGGAGTGAAATTGTGTGCGGGGAGATGGTGGGATGACTCCTCTGCATCCCTCGTGGTAAGTTCATCACCAGCACGGCCGGCGTTAAGCACAAAAGGAGAGGGCCACGAGGCAGGATGGCTTTGCTCGTTGAAGCAGCACCAAGCTCTCCATGTGAGACCTCCTGTTGAAATTTGGACCGCTTTGGAGCATCGTTATTCCTCAATATCTTCCAGCAGTTGGCAGGGAGCAGATTGGATCCTGAATCAGTTTTATTCCTATTAATGCAAAACTTCCCTCCTCTCCGAAACGTTTGCCTTGTGGTGTGCTGAAAAAAAGAGAAGAGATGGTGGTTGTCTTCTGGACCCACCTTGAAACTTCTTGTGCTTTGGCTGTGCTGCCAATCCATGCACCATCTATGTTCTGTTGGGTATTTGGAGAATAATTTTCATGGACAACTTTGCTGGTGATGAATTTGTTAAAAATTCCCGGCTGCTGGAGGTGGTGGCAGCCGGGGGCTGTGCAGTACCTGCTGCCAGCTGGTGGCTGTCTGAATGCTTTCACAGGGAGAAATCAGGACAAGTTGGTAGCATTTACCAAGTCTCGTACTGGAGAGAGAGCTCTTAATTTGGTTAGTGGGATCTTGTGGTCCTGAATATACTCTGAGAGCTCCTTATCACAATTCCTGCAGTTGTCTTACCTCTCTTATCAATTTTTGTGTGTAGAACAAAACTCCCCAAAACACACCTGAACTGCTTCATAAACCCTGATGATGCCCCTTGAAGTCCGGCAGCAGTTTCCACACTCCAGTAGGTCTGAGCAGAACGAGAAACCTCCGAGACATCTTACAAGGATGAGGCTGGAAATTGAAATTCCCAACTTTAATGGCTATAAAAAGAGAATTTTAGGCGGGGGGGGGGGAGAGGAGTTTTATGACATGTTAGTCTTGCACTGACATGAGGCACCTGAACTCTGCGCAGTTATTCTCTGGTGGTATTTATCTTTATAATTGGCTGTTTTTGTTAAAAACCTGAAGGTGGGCATGTTTACTTGACCGTATGTGTATTTTTCAGCCATCCCAGCTGGTCTCTATAAGATGCTATCTCTGTTTACAAACCTCCTCCTGTCTGAACTTGAACGAGTATTCGGAAGAATTCCCAAAGTCATCTTTCTGCTTGTTGTCTAAATAACGTGTGAGCTGCTTATTTTCTGTCCTGATGAGTTTGAAATAAAGCTTTGTTCTCTGGGTTTTCACCGAGACAGATGATGCACAGGTCGTAAGGGGCTGAAGTGCTGGGATCTTGTTCATCCAGGGAACCTGCGGACTTGCAGAGTGGGAGATGTTTGAACTGAGCCCTAGCTTGATAGGGTAACAGAGAAAGATGGTTGAGTAAAGAAAATAAGTGATCATTTAATATAAACCAATAAATAAAGATATGAGAGCTGGGAGGAAGCATCTGGTGGGAGATGCGTGTGAAGGTCTAACAGGAAATGTTTGAGCTTCATAGGTAAAGCCCCCACTGGAGACTTTTTTTTGTCCTTGCTCTGATATTAAGGAGCTAAAAGCTAATTATAACCTATTTGGTGTTGGGTAGGGGAGATTTCTTTCCAGGAGGTGATTTCTGTCCTACCACTTACATAAAATAGTGTTTAAGAGGAGATTTCTCATGTACAAGATCTGGTCCATCGGTACTGCAGCTTTTCAGGGTGGCTGTGCCAACAGTGTTCGCTCCTGTTGCCTTCTGCTTTTCTTCTCTAACAGGGAAGAAAATTCCTTCATGGTACCTGGTTGGTTAATAAGCTGTTCCATGCCATGCAAGAGAAGGCTGTGCAAAAAGTGATGTGAGGGTGTTTGTGTGCAGTTATTCCGTGTGAAAAGCATTGTCCTGACTCACGTGCAGATGTGCTCTTTCTCTTTTCCCCCAACACCCCGCAGAACCAAGTGACGGACACCAACCGAAAGCTGCAGAACGAAGGGAAAGAAGTAAGTGCTGCATCCGCTTCTTGTCCTTCTTGCTTGGCCGTGCTGTGGCCGTGCTTGCTGGTGGCAAATCACACCAGGCATCAGTAAGTGCTGAGCGTTACTGCTGGCGTTCCTGGCGCTGGTGTCAAGGTGGGCATTGATCCTCTCCCGTCTCTCTCATCTCATCGTGAGGAGTAAGTTGTGGGAGCGTTGGGCAGTGATTTTTCTCTTTTTACTGCGTGTGGATTGAAAGCTAGTGGAAAGGAAACCCTTGGATCAGCAATAATTGAGCTGTGGGCTTACTCCTTCAGCCCCGAGTGGCGCGGATGGGATCAGCAGTGGCAATGCGAGCTGGAGACTCTGCCCTGCTCCGTGCTGCAGCGTGGCAGCAGTTAAAGCCGGCGTGGTTTTCGAGCCCCAGGGGTAGAGGCATCAAGGCATGGAGAAAGGAAATGATTGAACGTGCCTTGGGTGCGATGTGCCTCTGACCACGCTCATTCCTCTGTCCTTCCATCATTATTTTGGCGGGCTGGAGGGACTGGAGAGGTGGGTGACAGCTGGGCATTGCGCAAGGGCGCCGATGTCTGAAGCTTTTTGAGTGCCTCAGAGATCTGAGAGAGCTTCCAGGGATGGTCCTGTTCCCCTCTTTTCCCTGTCCTCCTGTTGAATTGCCTTCTCTACCCGCATTTCATGTGAATCTTCTGCTCTTTGCACCTTTTGTTTTCCTCCTGAACTGCCCTCCCAGACAGCCAGGCTGCATTTCGCTGTGAGGGCACGCAGGCAGCACCAGCTCAGGGAGCTGCACTGCGTTTGAAAAACAAAGGAGAAAATACCACGCTGGACTGTGTCAGACCAATTACGCTATTACAGATCAAAGATACAAATGCCCTGTGGGGAGGAGGTGATGCAGCTTCTCCCCTGAACCAAATCAACATGCTTCTCTGTTACCTTGAGCAGAAAATTCATCTCTCGAGGTAGAATAGCTGAGGATTTCAAAAGGATTTCACAAACTGGGTCTGGCCCTGTGGAGCCTGACAGAACTCTGACCTGCCCCTCTGAAGGAGCAGAACTAAGGAAGTTTTGGTGGCAGATCCTTGTTTTGCCACTGTCCAGATGCACAGGTTTTTCTGTTGGAGACAGAGCTTTATTTTAAGGCTCACGGTTGGTTTGGGATGTAAAGAATTCCCCTGGGAGCCAGCCGCCACATCCTGCCCTTTAGAAGGGTTCAAAAAGAGAAACTTGGAAAGGGAAGCATGGAAGAGATGAAAAAATATAATGGGAAGGGGGAAATCATTTTTGGAATTCACAGGACGTGCTGCAAGGCTGGTATTCTGGTGGCTTTGGTTTTGCTGTTTACTTGCTTGAAATTAGCCAAGGGAATGTTTCTGCTGTTTGATTAAACCACCCCAAGCCGCCTGCGCTCCCGATTCCAGTGAAGCTGCACAATGCTCAGGGAGCTCTCCTGTTATCAGAGCAGGCTTTGTTGTCATCCTCCCCTTTGCATGTTCATGACAAGTGCCATGTAGTTTGTATCCTCTCTGCTCTCTGTTTACTATTCTTGGTGAGACTTTTTTCTTTTTTTTTTCCCCCAAAGCTGATAATAGCAATGGAAGAGCTGAAGCAGTGCCGATTACAACAGAGAAATATTTCAGCGACGGTCGATAAGCTAACGCTGTGTCTTCCTGGTGAGGATCTGCAATTGCTCTTTGTTTGTACAGCTGTTTATTTGAATTCGGATCTCTTTGCTTTATGCTTCCATCTCAACGTTCGTGTGTTTTCCTTCTCTTTCCAGTCCTGGAGATGTACAGCAAACTGCGAGAGCAAATGAAATCTAAAAGGTAAACTTTGTATAGACTGATGTTTCTATTGGAAGAGTTGAAAAGCACCCCTTCGGTGCTAATTAAATGAAACAACGAGGTTCTCAAAACTTAGGAATTCAGAATCATCCTTTCCGAGTTAACTTGTGTGATTTCTGGCTGGTATCTTCAGAGAGTGGCTCGGCCTCCTGTGGTACGGAGGAGAACCGGGATTGCAGCAGGCTCTAATCTTGTGCTAGGCTTTCTAATTAAGGTGGACATTCATTTTTTTTTTCCAAGGATGCTCACTGTTGTGGTGGGCCTTCCAAATCAATGTATGACTCGGTACCTGTGTGTTATTAACTAAATATCATATTTCGGATGCCATAATACAAAAACTGATCTGAGAGAAGCCGCTGAATAGGAATGGAAACCAAAGACCCGAGAAACATTGTGCAGCATGGTAGGAGAAGCTGGTGAGAAAGCACACGGCTTATTTTGGGATTGAAATAATCGTTCGGAAGAGTGAGCTGAACTACAATGACTTTGTGGCTCAGAAATCTCGTGCCAGAAATCCCGGGTTTTTCCCACCCCGCATCTGTTGTGATGCTGAAGAATTAAACCGTGGCCCAGGATATTCACATGGTCTTGGGGGCTGGTTTGTTTAAGCAGTTTGGAGGCGCGCTGCAGCCCCCGGGGGTGGCAAATTGGGCAAAAAGAACAGCTGCCTGGAGGAGGTCAGCGGAAAAGGCGGTGGGCTCCAGCTGAATGCCATGCGGGGAGCGCAGTCAGATCCAGTGCCTGCTCTGTGCCTGCCATCCATCATGTAAACAATACAGAAGAAACCAGATGTTTCGAACAAGGCGATAACTAATTGGCTGGGCGTAATTTTACACCTCCCCTCCTGCCTCCGCTGATCCCTGTGGTCCTCGGTCCCCAGGAGCCTTGGGTAAACAGATAAACATGAGTTGTGGAAGCGGGGCTGGCCAGAGAGGTTACGGGGAGCGTAGTTAGCTCTTCACACAGCTCTCTCTTTGCTTCTCTGCGTGGTTCAGTGCGGAGTAGGAGGCTATAGCTCCTCCAACTGCTTTTCTTCTGTGTATGGGAACAGCGAGGGGCTTACCCGTTGACAGATGTGGGGTGGGGAGCTTGAGCTGATCACAGTGCTGTGAACTTTTGAAGGGAATCCACATGCTGCTCGATTCCCTCGTTCTGGGTAGTGTTTCCAGGGTCTGGTTCTGAGAACTGCATCTTTTTTTTTCTTCCCTTTATTGGACTGGTTCATTTTGAAACAAATAGAAGTTGAAAGCCACATTTAAGAAATATTTGAACCCTTGGCTTTTTTTTTTTTTTTCCCCCCCCTCCTCTTCTTTCTTTGTCTGGATTTGATGGCTTCATTCACCAAACACAGCACAACATGTTAAATATTTCTGTGTCTGCACCCGGTCTCACTTAGCCATCATTTTGTGATGGCCAGCGAGGGGCTCGGTTACGTGTGTGAGTCCCAGGTTTGGAGTGCCCAACCTCGGTTTTGCATTCTGGGTGAGTAAGCTCAGCTCTTCCAAGGTAGACTGAATGAGTTACGTGCTGTCTGCTGCGTGATGTTCACAAAATGAACGGGAGCGTTTGCCAAACGCAGAATCTGTGACCATTAACTGGAACCGGGGAGCGCAGCGCGGTCCAAACCCAGAGGAGTGACCGTGCTACCAGCAGAGAGCAGAGATGCAGGGGAACCTTTCATCTTCCATTGTCCAAAACTTAAGGAAATGACAGAAAGAACTTTTTTTTTCTCTTTTTTTCTTTTTTTCTCAAGCGTCTGGGACACACAAGGCTGCTCATTGGAAAGTGATGAGAAAAATCCCTCTGCCAGAGCCTGGGAGAAAGGATGCAGATAGCTGTGTGTGGGAGCCTGTCAGGGAGCAAGTCGTGAATCCTGCTGACAAATGAATGCCAGGGCTCAGACGCGGCGTGGAGGCTGTGTGCCTTCGGGGGGGCCTCCCATTTCTGGGGGCCTCCGAAGGGATCTGTCTCACTTACCCGTGGGTCACTTGGTCTCCAGTAGTAGAAATGAGAATATTTCGTCCTGCTCGTGGCCGAGAAGCTTCTGTAGGGCTGTGCCCTTCCAAGGCTATTTCCAGAAGGAAAAAAAAAAAGTTAGTTTTGAACCTATAATTTATTAAAATGCCCCATTCCCAGTTGGGAAGTGTTCCTATTTCACTGCTGCAGTGGTCCCTGCAGGGTGGCCGATAACAGGCGTTCAAAAATCAGACTGGATCTCAAAACTCAGGCTCGTGCAGAGGTTTGGGGCATCGCCCAGCTGGTGGTGGGGAGCCTCGTGGTGCCAGGCTCGCAGCTATCGCAGCTCTGCACGGCTGCACTTTGCTCTGCCCCCATGTGTCCTGGACTTTGTTTTCGGCAGGCAGTCGGGGACCCCAGCAATGAGTGCCCGCTGTTCCTGCAGACCAACTTTTAGCTTCTTCGAGCTCAACAAACAACGTCCTGAAACCCAGCAAACCCCCAGTGTGTGTTTATTCCTCTGGTTTAATTTCTGGCTCTCTCTGTGCACTCGGAAGTTTCCCTCCGGAGAGGATTGCCTTTTATTGCACAGCACTTTTCGTACCTCACCGGGGCACAAACGCTGACCGGGTTACGGGGTTAATCCGCTTAACTTCTGGTGTTCTTAGCAGGGCAGGCAGTTCTGGGTTAAAATAACTTCCCCATGGACCTGCCCGGAGTTTAGGCAAGAATTATTTTGAATGGGGATTTGAGCATCAGGTTGCACGTTGCTTAGGACTAAACGCTGTTTCCCACCCTAACCTTCAAGGTGTAAGTGGTGTGGATGGGATTAACAGCGAGTAGAGTCAGCACGAGATGCCTTAATTCACCCCAGAGGGGACCGGGACCCTGTGGGGTGGCAGTCTTCTGCCATGTGCTGCTTGCTGAAACCCTGTGAGCAAAACCTGCTCAGGGGGAAGCTGATTTAGGTCTGAGAAGGCTCTTGGGTTTTGCACAGCACCCCAGTGCCACGCAGGAGGGCCCCTGTGGGGCATAACCCAGTGAGTAGGCACATGGGCGCCCGCTTTCCAAACGGGAAAGATTGAAAGCATTTGAGAAAAATAGTCTGAACAGTTTCCCATTTAGTTTCCCATTTAGCATCTGCTCAGCCCTTTTTAAAATGACCCATCACCATGCTTCGTTCTTCCCATGGCAGTCCTGCTGTTGTGCAAAAAGGTAAGGGAAATGCACGGTGCCTTCCCTAAGGCCATTGGGCATGACTGAGATGTACAAGCAGGCATCGTGGATAAAGGACGGAGCGTTGGGGTTCTTGCAGTTTTAAGGCTTCATCTTAAATTGTTAAGGTCCATTCCTTTATAGCAGGGAAATTCGGTTTTTGTCATCACTGCAAAGCTCACGGACACCAGTGGTCCCACAGGAGCTGCAGAAGAAGTGTCCTTTGGTCCCGTTAGCAGGCTCGTGTTGGGATTGTTTTTACTTCTATCTAAATATAAAGGTACCTGGGGTGGGAAGTGTTTCTCAGTGGTGCAGAGCTGGGAGGCAGGTGAGGTCTGGCTGCTTGTGCCACAAGAAATCCGAGCGCTCTCATACCCAGGGTACCTCAAACAGAATAACGAGTAGCCATGCGAGCAGCATGTTCTGGCACGTGTTGGATAGCAGTGTGTCAGGCCGTGGCATATCATTTATCCTCATTTCCATCCTACTGTTTTATGGGACCTCACTGTTAGGGGCTGCCCAGTCCTTTAGGAGACAGAGGTGAGGATGCTGCAGCCCTGGGCCTGAGCAGTACGAGGTGAGAGCGCACACGTGGACACCTCACACAGCACATTCATCGACACAGCTGGCTGCACAGGTCAGCTACATGCCCCATACCTCACCCAGTAACCCCCCTGCTCTGTGGGGTGCTCCAGAGACACCCCATGCCTCCTTTGGGGTGGTCTTGGGGACACCAGAGCCTGGGGCAGCAGAGCAGGCACGTGGGTAAGAGCTGTGCTGGCTCAGCTGGGTCCTGTCTGCACCGGGGCTGCCCCACAGCATACCTCTGCTTCTCTCTTTGGAAAAGAAAATAGTGCTTTTATGGTTATCTGGGTGCCAAGATCTACATTTATTTGAACAGAGCTGAAATCCTTAGATCTATTGAGTTATTTATGCGTAGTGCACATTTTTGAGTGGAATTGGGGTGGAAATAGCTGTTCTTTTTTTTTTTTATTATTATTTATTTTATTTCTGTATCTGCTTTTCCTGCTTTCCCCAGACACTACCCTGCGCTGAAGACCCTGGAGCACCTCGAGCACACCTACCTGCCCCAGGTGAGCCACTACCGCTTCTGCAAGATCATGGTGGATAACATCCCAAAGCTGCGCGAGGAGATAAAGGAAGTTTCCATGTCAGACCTCAAGGATTTTCTGGAGAGTATCCGTAAGCACTCCGACAAGATTGGGGAGACGGCGATGAAACAGGTAAGGACCCGCTCTGTTTGGAGGAGGGGAAGCTGCTCTGGAAGGAGTTTCACAGTCACGTTGAGTCTTTTCAATGCCAAGGCAGTAAAGGCTTCACAACAACTTGAAGGTGGAAAAGTTTTTGTTCTGTAATTGCTGCTGGAGCTTATTTTCTAATTTTTATCCCGTTGAAAAATGGCAGATGGTTCCTGTCGTCTTCTCCCACCTGTGCTTTGCTGTGGGAGGTGCAGGAGCTGTGGATTCCTGTTCTCCACACAGCAGAGCTGGCGTTTGTGCTGCCCTGGGGAGGACTGGAAGAGCTGGGGGTGACTGGGAGATCTGGGGGTCCCGGTGCTGACTTCCCAGGGTCAGAGCAAAGCCACAGAAGCACCCATCCTGACTGCAAATCGATTTCCATTTTTTACATCTTCAACTCATTCTCAGATGTTGGGCAGGCTTCTGTTGTGGCTTGTACTCGTCTAGCAGTTGAAGTCTGTAAAAGATGAACCCGATGAATTGAACATAGCCGTGCTTGTATTAAAGTGGAATCGCCTTTTCTCAGACTTCTTTAATATTCTAGTTGTGAATTCCAGTCCGGTTTTTCTTATCACATCTGGAGAGCATTGCTCATAGTGTCTGTGAAAACGAACTTTTTGATGAGCCTCAAATCCACGGGTAATGAAATGTTACCTCGAGATGCGTTTCCTCTGATAGCGACTGACGGATCGGGGTGGCTGATTTATGGGAAAGATTCCCATAACTTTTCACAAGGTGATACGTGGCACTGTTAAGCTCATGGTTAGATGTACAGGAAAGTTCAATTTTCTGACTTACAAATGCTGTCCTTCCTGTAAAATGTACTAGCTCGAGGATTTCCATTAACTGATTTCATTTACAGTGTCTACTGCCTCGTTGTCTTCTCAATCTCCCTCTAATATTTTGGGAAATCAAACCCTTACATTACGTATTAGAGCTCTGAGGATATGCTGTTCTGTTTCTTACAGTTTAGCAAATGTTTTTGTTAGTTGTTGCATAAATCAGACGAGGTTCTGTGAATCTACTGGAAAGGTCCGGTGATCCGGGCATCCTGTCCTTGCGGCATCCCAATGCCTGGGATGGCTCCAGGCATTACTCTGCTGAATTTACCTGAGGCAATGGTTTCCAGAACAGCTGTTTACCAAAAATAAAATAAAAAAAATAATCCATCGTGGCAGCCAAACTTTTAAACAGATTATTCTTTGGTTTCAGTGTCTCTGGATGGAGAGACAGTTCAGTTTGTCTCTTGGTGCCCAGTTAGTGCAGCAAATATTCTACTTGAACTAAATAAATAATTCTTTATATCCTGGTAAGGATATTCACCAATGACAGAGACAGAAGAGGACACAGATGTGTCCTCTCTTCGTATTTTCCAGTTCCGTCACTGACACTGGGAGGGTGAGACTGGGGAGCTGAACCCCACAGGCCCGTGGCTGGTGGCTTTGGGCAGGGAGAACCTGCAGGGAGAGGTCACAGATGGTCCGTCTAAAAAGCAGGGCTGAACATCCAGTTTTGAGAAATTTATAATTTAAAAAACCAGCAGGAGGCTCGAAGTAAGGGAATATTTTCAGTGAAAGCCTTTGCTGCTAACGTTTTCAGCTTTCCCTAAGTTGGTTATTTGTTCTCCAGCTGGAGATGGCCTCTCGGCTAGGGCTGTGGCCCCTGCTTGGACCTCAGGTTAAACGTCTGTCCCTGCTCCTCTCCGTTGTTTTCCACTTACAGACCTGCAGAAATCCTTCATCTTTCACCATCTGCTGAGTTCCAGCCATTTTGGACCTTAAGGAATTCTAAAGCGAGGTCTGATGGTGATGATTTTTCCTTTTCTTTGCTGATGCTGCCAGCATCTCTGTGATCAGAGCTCCAGCCTCTGAATGTATCTAACAAAAATATTGACGTGGAAAAGGTGGGTTTTTTTGTCTTTCACATAGATGCTAATGAAACACGAAGTAAGTTGGGCTCTTGTGAGGAGCATCACAAAACATCTTGATGTTTCTAGCATCATCTGGCAAACGTTTTCAGTCCCAGTTGACTTCTCTTGGGTGAGCGCTGGGTGCAGGCTCCATCAGGGCTTTCCTTCGCCCTCCGTGGACCGCGGCTGTCTCCGAGGGAGGGCTCGCCAGCTCCTCAGCAGGACACGTGTGCCGTTCCCACCCAGCAGCCTGGAAAGGAAGGTAAATTCGCCACATCCAGTTGCAAAAAAGCAGGGCTGGAAGCGCTGCTGGAATTTGAGCACCGGGCTAGGTTTATCCCCGCCGAAAGCCTCACGGGCGGCTCGAAGCGGTGAGGAGCTGAAGCTTCCCCAGCCTCCCGTCGCGTGGGGTCACTTCACGGCGTCGTGCTGAAAGCGAAGGGCAGGGCTCCCTCTGCCAGAATTCCCAATATCACTTCTTGCATCACCGGGCCTTTCTCCTCGGTCTGCTGGCCGTGATTGATAGCCGCTCTGGAGCGGAGCGGAGCTGGCAGGAGGCCTGGGAGAGCCGGGGAGCCGCGATTGGCAGCTGAACGCATTCGGTTTAAATTAGCATCATATAAATTCTTTTAAAATTGTTTGATTTCACCAGCGGGAATGGGATCGGGGCTGATACAATGGGGAAAGGAAATCGTGTTTTTGTAACGTTACAAATCTGAGGCTGATGATGACAAGAGCTGAAAATTTCATTTTGTGATAATCAGAAGGAGCTGTCTCGGAGTGCTCGGAGCCACGGCTGCGTTTCTGGCCGGCAGTCAAGGATGCGGGGAGTTCGCTGGCCCCTCTCTTGGACGGGAAAGCCGCCGTGGGGTGAAGTCAAGTGAGACGGTCCTGGGGTCAGCCGTACGCGGGGAGCAGGGTGCCGAGAAACCCTATATCCTCCGAGCACAAACGATGAGTTCTCATCGACTCCTTTCCTCGTTTTTGTTTTCAGCCTGAGTTTTATTACCTGTGGTTCTGGGGGGGATCTGCTTTGTTCCAGCCCTTGTGCTTAATTACACGGCTCTGGAGCAGATGGAAGGAGCTCCGCGGATTTGAACTTGTTTTGGACTTTGGCCCTGTGAACCTGTGTGTGTGTGTTTTGTTTTGGTTGTTCTGTTTTGTTTTTTTTTAAAGATCCAAGTTCGGGGCTTTGCCAGGAATGAATTACATCTTATTAACACTTGCTGATATCCGGAATGTGGCTTTATTATCTAGCTTAATGGCTGAAATATGCAAGGCATGTGGAAGAGGTCACTTCAGATGGTGCTGTATCGAGGGTAAGCCCTGAACGCTGCTACACAGGGGGCCAAGAATAACCAATCCAAAAGCCATTATCGGATAAAGTTTGTCAGGACAGCCAAAACGCTCAGCATGCCTTTCAAATAGATGGAGGCAACCCAGCATTTTTTTTATAGCCTCGCTAGGATGCGCTCTCAGAGCTGCCGTTTAAGAGGTGGCGATGCAGGACAAGCTTCAAGGGCTTGGTGTGCCAGCCGTGCTTTTGTCAGGGGCTGTTTGCTCTTCTGGGCAACAGGAATTGGAGTCCGTGTCACTTTTCAGCAGTATAAGGTGAGGTTTCTGTAGGTATATTTCCTTGTAGTGGCAGAAAAATACCAACTCAGCAATGTGAGCGTATGCACAGGCTTAAAAATGAGGCAAAAAACTGCACAATGATGTGCGTAACTAACACTAAATGTTAGAAAATGTGAATCTCTCTTGTAGGAATGCAGTTGTCACCTCCAGCTGAGGATGATGAAGGTGCTGTGCACCTCCTCTGCTCTGTACCGTGGGCTTTTGTGTCTCCAAACTGCCTGGACGTGGATGGTTAAACAGCACGTGGGGCTGTGCAGGTGTCCTGTACTGATGTGCCTGATGTGTAGGAACATTCAGTAGCACTGGGTAACGTGCAGCTGGCCTTATAAATTAAATATGTGGAGGAAGAGGAGCTCTTGGTTTAATCTGTCACTGCTGAGGATGGCAGCTGCTAAAGGGCATTTGGTAAGGATTAAATGGAGAGGTTGCATTTTTTTTTAAAAGCTGCTGCTCTGCAGTCACCATGGGAGGAAAAAGGGGATGCGCTCAGCTTGTTGGCACGTGGAGCCTGGCTCCTTGGTCGCTCCAAGCGCACTTCCAAGCACTTCCCTTACCTTTGGGTCCCAGCAGGGGGTTTTACAATGGCAGATTCCTTCCTGCCCAGCAGTTCTGCATCTCTGCCACTATAAGTTAACCTCCTTTAGGACAGCAGTGGCTAAGAGGGGTTCTGTGGGCGGTGGGGAGCTGAGGGATCAGCGATTCCTGGCTTTGGAGGACACGAGGGACAGCAGGGGGATGTGATGCAGCTTCCACCTGGTGGCACGTGCTGCAGAACGGCGTGAGAAGGACAAAGGGGAGGTAGGTGGTAGGTAAAACAGGGGAGAGCTTGGCCTGTACAGGTCACCCAGCACCGAAAACACACCTCGGTGGTGCAGCTTCACCAGCACAGTGTGCCCAAAAGAGGAGGCGATGCTGGTGGCACATGTCCCCCAGGGCAGGGTGCTGTGGTCCTCTGGAGGGACGGAGATCCACAGCTGCTCCCTGCCCTGCGGGTTGCCCCGCTGCAGGTTGTTTTAGCAGTAGCCAGAAACCCGAGGGAGCTTTGTCAGGCAGCTTGTGTGAGCTGCTGGTGATAAGCAGAGACGTGGCATGCGGCGATTTCAGCCTTGTTGGGAAATCCTGTCCGTGCTGGAAATGCAAACACATGCACGCCAGCCCCCGGCCACGGCAGCGGAGCGCTTCCCCGCGCGGCAGGGGACAGAAGGACATTTTCTCAGCCTCCAGATACCGCCTGGTGGCCTTTTGATGGCCAAAAAAGAAAAAAAAAAAGCTTGAAAATGCAGCTTGTGCAGTGTTCTTAATTATCCCCATCTCTGGAAGCTGGGAGCTTTACGTAATCTCCCGCGGCGCATATGGGAGTCGTTTGTGCCCCGTGTGCAGCGTTTGGAGCAAAGGAGATTTCACTGCGTGGGGAGCCACCTTCTGCTGGGTGTTGGTCCCC